AAAACAAATAATTAGTTTACTATAAATACAATCGATACTAACAAATAAGAATACTTAACAATTTCTCACAACATACAAACTGAAAATACAAAATAGAATTGTTCATAATTATGCAGACTATTGACATGGATTTTTCATTCATGATTTGTTTAACAAAATGTTGTAACGGAATTCAGCAAGCTTTTTCTAGACATTGTTTATCTGTCACAACCAATAGGCCTTGTCTTGCAAAGGCGGTTCAGCGAAGTTTTATGATGACGATTAGGCCTATCATTATATAAAGGCTTCTCTCTACTCCTGGTTATTGTTTTTTTTTAATGACTAACCATTAGCATCAAGCCCCCCCCCCCCCCCCCCCCATCAATACAAAATGGAAGTAAACAAATGTCACCTATGAACACTAATGTAGATGCAAAGTGACTTTTTCATTGATTCTCATCATGTTTTCAGTTGCAAATTGTATACGAAATTTGTACAAAATATATTTTTGACACGAGATTATTAAGATACATGAATTACATTGGTTTTCAGGGGAAAGGGCTTAGATCGAGAGCAGCTTAAACCGCTCTATTTATTAAAAGACATGTACCGGTACACTTTTAACCAGCTTTTCACCAAAGTGACTTGTTGTCGTTTTTGCTGTTGTTGTTTGTATGTTAGTTTTGTTTACCTGACTGTTCTTTTTTCCTTCACAGCCGTTTACATCAACGATTGAATGTCAGTTAACAATTTGCATCATTTTAATTGTAGCAGTACTGGAGAATATGAAAAGTTCCAAGAAAACTGATGACTGAATTCAAATGTTATCTCAGCATGTTTTTCTTCCTTATCCTTGGCTAGCGGCCCCAATTTCATACACTTGCTATGAATACTGGCACCTCTATGGATGGAATCCACTTTTCTTACATTAGTTGTTGCTTTATCGGACAAGTCTTTATTAGCTTTTTAGTTGTAAAGAAGTATAACATTTGTAAATGTATATTGGGCTTAATGATTGAAATTGGACGCATGAGGGCGGTAGAGAAGAAAACAGGGCCGTAAAATAAATACGAAATATTTTTCGGAATTGGCAATTGTTTGGAATCTTGTGTTCAGTGCATGTCTCCCATTATTCTGTTTCAGCGTTAAATATATAGGACCTTTCGGTCGTCTGACTCGACGACCCGGTGGGGTCACTCAATGTGACTTCCTCGATGATCGAATAAAAGTCGGTCGTATGAGAAGAATGAGTTAAATGAAATAAAGTTAATACAACAAAATACTACATTCCGTTCGAATTGATCCTAATGTTGTCTCCTTTTTTATTTTAAAATCATACTGAAGTCTCTGCATATGATAAGACATTTCTTCATCTGCAAAACGTGTGTATACATATTTTGTTCGACCGACCTTTATTTCCGCCTTTTTCTTTTTCTTCTTAAGGCTAAGCAGAAAGCTTGAATGACTTGTATGTGTTTTTATTTCCTTGTCTGTTTTGTGTTGTTGTTTCGTGTTATTTTCCTTTTGTTGTCTTTTTTTTCATTTCCTTCTCTGTTTGTTTGGCAAAATTTTCGCTTTATAGTTCACCTTTATCGGATTTTAAAGTCTCTTTTTTTAACTTGCATTTTTGTATCTCCTCAGTCTGTCCTTTTTCCCCCTCTCTCTCTCTCTCTCTCTCTCTCTCTCTCGCTTTCTTTCTTTCCCGCCCACTAAATCACTAAAAAAAATCCAAGATCGGTTGAACTTGTTTATACCCCCTTTTTTGTTTACCTCGGTCGATTACATGCATGTGCCCCCCCCCCCTTCCCCAAACATCAAACTCTGGCTACGTGCCTGGGGGGGGGGGGGGGTAGATTATAAACACTGAACAAAGAAGAAAGTCATGAATGTTGACATTCGAGAATCGAGATCGATTAATTTCTCCTTGTCAATGTTGCCCTGATAATTATGTAATGCGCTAGCCCTACAATAAAGAACTTTAAAAGTTGTTCTATACAATTATTGAAAGAATTTCATTTCTCACTTAAAGGGATCCGGTAGCCTTGTCTCAGATTCTGAAACAAAATTCTGGATTTAACTTAAGGTGCAATGATAAGTATAAACATTTAGGTGAGTCAGGAACCCCCTGACTTTTACAAGCCGATTGCCTGTCTGATTATCAAGATATTTATGATTAGAAATCGAAACCAAATTTTGCGTTTACACTCCAGTCTATTGGGGAAAACGAGTATGTGAAAAACCGGTCACTCAAAGATTTTTAGTTTTTGATGCACTTCTTGATCATTTTGAAGCACATTTTTTGTAGGAATTCAATATTACACCATATCACAGACACTATGTATCTCAGATTTAACATTACTAAACGATCCCATTTAATGATGGCATAGCCTTAGGTGCCGGAAGTGGGGGGGGGGGGGGGGGGGGGGGGGGGGGGGGGGGCAAAACGCAAAACGCAAAAAAAAAAAAAAAAGCAGTAAAGGAGTAAAGATTGTTTGTATTTTTTAAACTAAAGAACATACAAATAATAAAACCTGAATTGAATCACATACAAATTATATTCCATTCCCAGAAAAGAAAAGTTAAAGGGATAGTTGAGTTCTGTTTTCAGACCGCAAATTCCTTCAAAATGCATGGTTATTGCTCTTATTCTTATCTTACCCTTTAAGGGCTTACAATTGCTATGAAGGTAATTTTAGACCCCAAAATATGTGAAATTTAGCCTATACGATCATACCAGTTCATGTCTACTTTAAAAAAAAAAAGGTGACCGTTAATTAATTATTTAATTAAAAATAAAAAAATACATGAGCCGGCTAATTGTGAGTAATATAAGCAACACGAAAATGCCATCAAAGAAGCCAACATCGGCATTAGCTAAAATACACCGTAAAAGGCGTTATTTCGTTATTTTCAACGGTTTTTTCAAATTTCTCAAAATATCTATTTTGTGGTGGTATACACAAGTATTAGAAATCGTTATTATTTCAGCCGTCTCTGAACCGATTTTGATCAAACAAAGATGATTTTGTCATTGAAATATTATGTTCTTTCAAATTTGACACTTAGTTTTTCATTATCTGACAACAATTTTTTTGTAGCGCCCTCTGCAACAGAACTCAACTATCCCTTTAACAGGATTTAAATTTCCCACACATTCCGCATGGCCCTATATTTATCGATGGAGGTTTTCCCCGGAGGTTAGATACGCGCATATCGTGGAAATATTGTGAGATGATGGAACAGCGTCCCGAATAGCGTGTGTTTTTTTATTTTTTTTATTATAGAGGTGAGAAGACATGAGCCCATGAGGCTCGCGTACTGATGGGGAAGGGGGGGGGGGGGGGGGGGGGGGGGGGGGGGTATTTATAATTTGATATCAGTGATTTACAAATGTTGCTGAGCTGACATGATTTTCCGCATTTTTTTTGTAAATCGTACCTTTTTATGCGATTGTTGGAAAATTACAAATTCTCGAATTTACAAAAATATTATTAAAAATGTAAGGAAATATGCTTATTTAAAAGCCTTCATGTAAGGGCCTGCAGAACGTCGGGGCTCGGGGGCTCGAGCCCGCCCCTCACGATTTTGAAAAGTATGTTAAAGAAAAAAGGAAAGAGAGAGAGAGAAGAAAAAAAACGAGTGACCCGCCAAATGTCACTTGCAATAAATAATGGCACCTCTATGGATGGAAAACAATTTCCATTCATTAGTTTTTGCTATTTCGGGCAAGTCCCTGACAAGGTTTTTAGTTGTAAGAATTAGACACCTTTGTTCTTGAAGTAAAACAAAAATTGTGAATTTGGGCCGAGTATTTCAAATTTGGCGCAAGGGGGCGGTAGAGAAGAAAACAGATATGTTCGCACATTATGTTTTTACATTTATTTAAGCCCCTATTAAAATATGATATGTACGTGTCCCTTTTTCTGTTACGAACGCCCCTGTTCCATTCTCATGGTGCCTTTAAAAAATCTCCGTTGAGATCCCCTTTTCAGGTGCGAGAAATGCTCAATGTTCACCTTTGATAATTGCTCTTTTTACTTTGACATGACTGTGCTCTTTGTCTTTTCTACAAGTGTCATTTTCCTTTCTAATAAATTAGTGTTTCCTTTCACTATAACTTGTGCCCTAAATTTAAAACGACTAAGAACAACTTTTTCTTCACCCCCCCCCCACAAAAGCTCGACCTCTATGCGCTCGCTAGCGTTTATATTTCATATAATTATGTTAGTTATTAAAGATATGTTCCGTCATTGATTGTTAGAGTTGATCTTAAAACCCCCTCACGACTTGTGTTTTCCTCTTTATAAGATAAAAATGTTCGCACTACGACCTCTCAATTTTCCGAATTTGATGCTAAGCCGTTTCTTAATTGGACTATGTGAAGAGAGAAACAAACTATCGAAATAATCCATCACTTTGTGGTTTCCCTTTGTCTGAGGTGCCCCCCCCCCCGAAAGAGCCCATTTTGTCCCCCCCCCCCAAAAAAAAAAAAAAAAAACTTTGGAAGACGTATCATCTTTATCATCATCATCATCATATCACCACCACCACCACCACCACCACCACCACCATCACGACGACGACGACCACCACCACCACCACCATCAACAACATCAACACCACCACCACCACTACCACCACCACCACCATAACCGCAGTGGCGGCCATCATCATGCATCATCATCAGCAGCATCCATTAAGAGATCTTAAATTATGGAGAGGGCGCAGTCAGCTCCACTTAACCCGTAACATACGAGTAGCAAGCAACATGTGCAGTCTACTTTAATTTATAATATCAAAGATAATTAAATGATAAATGTCTATACAAGCAAGATGTATTTTTTCGAAATTCAATCTTGATATTCATGGAACTACTATAATAACTCTTAAACTTTGAATAATAGAATAAGATACATCATTTTCAAGTAAACCGAGGTCCGTACACATTGCGTTTCTTTGTGGCAGGTACTTGTTCCCGATATCTTTTGAAGGGTGCGATCTTTTGGCCTGCGTGCTATACTACTACGGATCACGTATTGTGTTGACTGTCTTTTCAACTGCAGTCACCATTGTTGCTAAGTGACGCTGCCGATACCGCTGCGAAATCGAAGGGTTGGATTGATTTGGACAATTTATTTCGCTGATAAAACGTAAGTTTTCACAACCTTTCCACTTTTTAAACCGACATATGTGAACGAGAATATTTAGAAGTTTAATTAAGCATTGTAATATGTTTTTTACATGTAAAGATGATGTATATTCGTGAAAAACAAACATTGCGCTTGACTCCTGGTAGCGTTGCGTAGTCCCGTGAGCTTAACATTTTGTTAGCAAATGTTTCCAAATCCAAAGCTAATTAGTCTAATAAGAGTGACAGATTTCTTAGGGCGGGGCATATAATTTGATACCTTAAATACACGTTAAGTGTTTAAGAATTGACGTCACCAATGAAATTAAGATTGTGGGACTAGACCTTGTATTGAAATATTCCATTAAATTCAGTGAGAAATGATGACCAAAAAATCAAAACAAAAGTCAAGACTCAAACTTTTTTTCAAAATCCCCCCAAAACACAGCAGTTTTATAAAAATTTCAGTATGATGATTTGACTTCAATTTAAGTAAATTTCAAAATAGTGGTAAATATGCTAAAGTGTTTTGATCGCACGTTGTACTTGTAGTCAGTAACTACGTGTGTGCGACACAGTCACAGGTGATTCTGATTAATATGAATATGATTATCATTATGAGCCACGTCACGTGTGAATGGTAAGGTAATTGGTGCCTGATATCGCTGCTGCGCTGCGGCATGCGGTTTGCAAATGGATGTCCTGGGAGAGCTTGGGCGTCCCACGCTGGTTCAACCCCCCTGATTTTGTTTATCAGTGTGCATGTGATAACGCTGATGTGTTTTTGCATGTATGTTTGTCACCATCCAAAAGTTGTAACTCGTATTTTATACCTTGAATACCTTGAATACCTTGAATACCAAAGCTTCTGGAAGAAAGCCCTTTCCAGGTCTAACTTCAAGGGGGGGGGGGGGTGTCCCAGTTTCCGGGTCTTGCACCATGGTCTTTTTACATCTGTATCTCGCTTGCTGGGTCATATCGGGATTATCATAATTGGAGTGTCAACTGGGAGAAGGGTGAATGATATTGCTCCTTCTTCCAGTGTTTATCAAGTTCTGCTTTAAAGTTGTTTACTGAAGTTGAACCAGGGTCTGTCAGCGTCATTCATGTGCATTTAATTTTAAGCTCCATTCTATAAAATCTTTCCAACTTTTCTCTCTCCTTCAGATTGCTACCCCAACATGCCGACTATTGTTGAGATAGTGGATGAAGAACCGCCTGTAGATCTGGCACCAGTCTTTGTCACAGAAGTCAAAACTAGTCCCACAGCACCTGCTGGGAAAACTGGCAAACGAGTTTCCAGTGAGTCCACCGAAGCATTGGATGAGGTGGAGGCAGAGAACATTCTTGGGGAGGAGGTTGTGGATGGCTTGCTGCAGAGTGATGAACCAGTCAGTGAAGGGCTAGAAGGAGGAGAAAGAGAGGGAAAAGGGGAACCGCAAGTGTTGAAGGTAAAAGAAAGATATCAGTCTAAAAGATAAGTCAAATATCCAGGTCCACCATCACATCTTTAATTCTGGTGATGGCAAGATGTAGAATATATGACATGTGCCTACCTGTATATATTTTGTGGACATTTTCTGGTGTAAATGCATGTCAGCAAGTTTTTGTTAACATTTCTTTTCAATCGGCATTCAAAGCCATGTTTCTTTCATTGTCAACCATTCAAATAATACCAAACTTCTCTCAAATATCTACTTCATGGTGTATAAAAAACAAACAAACAAACAAACTTTATAAATGTAATGCTTCCTGGGAGAAATTTCAATAGTTTGAACATATTTGTGGCTTACACCCAGTAAATAAGATCGATTGATCGATCTGTAATTGAAAAAAACAAGTCAGAAAAAGTCTTGGAACCAGTGGGATTTGAACCTGCCATCTACTGCTTGCCGGGCAGCAACTCTACCACCAGGCCATCACTGGTCCATGGCACAGTCACGATGAACTAGAAACAAATACCCAGTAGATGGCAGGTTCAAATCCCGCTGGTTCCAAGATTTTTTCTGACTTGTTTTTCAATTACAGATCGATCAATCAATCTTATTTACTGGGTGTAAGCCACAAATATGTTCAAACTAAACAAACTTTAATTGTTCAATTTCCTCTGCATTTGTAACATATAATTTTGTACAGGTCCTCTCAGGAATACAGTTTTAGTATGAGAGTTACCCTGCTTAAATGAAATATATTTAATTTTAAGAAATGCACTTTCATGTTCTAGCTCTGTTTTTACTAGATCTGTCTTTCTTTATGTGTCCTTCTATTAGGCCCAAGATGAACCAAGCAAGAAGGAAAGAAACAGAAAGGAGGAGGATGAAAAGGAGACAGACTCAAAGGTTCCCGAGGACGACGACAGATATCCAAGGTACAAAGTCCATAGAGTCAAGAATTACAAACCCAAACAGAAAAAGAAAATAACTAAACTTAAAACAAGGGAATCTTCGGTCCATTAAATCAAGACCACTCATGGGTGATTTTGTTGTTGTTGTGCAGCATAGGACATCACTTTCAAGTTAATGACTCTTTTAATAAGCCATGAAAAGTTGTTGCGTCTTCATCTGGTAGAAGAAATAGTATATTGAGTGTCTATTTCTTGTATACAAAATAAAATACAAGGGATGAGTGTAGTGGACTCATTTCACATCGCTGTTAATTGCCTCAGCACATGTAGGATGCATTTTTATTTTCATTTTCATTTATTGTTGTTGGTTATTTTCTAGAGTATTGCAAGCTTTCCATTTCTAAGATTTGTATTTTCCTCCATTCAAGCCTGGTTGATTTATGTATATATTTGAATGAGCTGTGATTCTTTTTTATGCAAATGATATTTTCTAATTTATTATGTAATATTTAAACAAGATATTGAAACAAGGTTTGTAAATATAAACACTGTGGCCCGAATTCACAAAGGAAGGTTTGTCGACAAACCAGGTTTTTGTACGTCATATGACACGTTTTGACGTGGTTTTTACAAACCTGGTTTGTAAAAAACAAAAGGAGGTTTGACAAAACAAAAGGAGGTTTGTCGACAAACCTCCTTTGTGAATTCGGACCTGTATGTGGACAATCTATGTTCAGTATTTTCACAAAAAGTATCCATCACTTGATTATCAATTATTTATAATGGTTTGTATAATATGTTCCGGATACAAATATACAAATAATAGGTACAAATAATAAGAAAGAAAGAAGAAACATTAAAACATGTTATGATCAATAATGTAATCACTTAAATAATACACACAAAAAAGCGACACAAATATTTTTTGTGAGAGAAGTAACCTTTTCCTCCCCATATTTTGCTCTTTTTTCAGAATGACAGAGAAAGCATTGAAGGCTATCTGCAAGCAACATGACCTGTACAGAACACCTGAACTCAATGATGTCCTCTATCTTCATTACAAAGGTACATACTTGGTTTGTTGGTTTGTTTTACCTGACTGCTATTATAAAGAAGGCTAGTATGTGTGTGTGATTGTGTTTTGTTTTTTTACAAACGAGTATCAATCAGATATGATTATTTACGTCTGGGGACCGACCTTTAACGTCACCATCTGAAAGAAGTGACTTGGTTTCTAACCGGGGTTGCCTGAGTCAGTTTGTAGGCAAAGACAGAGAACTGACCAAGTGAACGTGCTGCTAAACCAACTCACCATGTAAGGGACTGATGGCTTTAAGTCCTCTCCAAGGACTTGGTAATGATGATTAATACCATACCAATGGGCTCTTGTGCATCAAATTGGTTTAGAACCCAGGACCTGCAGGTTACAAGACCTCTGCTCTACCACTTTTGTTCTAAATTCCTAGCATGTTTTTTTGTTTGTTTTTTTCAATTTTTTTCTATAACAATATAGAAAAACAAAAAACATGTGAAAAACAACCAGAGTTGACTCCTTTTGTGCCACTTCCGTGGTTTGGTCCAGGTGATATTTGATGTGAAAGCATTCTTCTATAAATAATAAACAAACTTTCTTTTCTGTAGGCTACACTCGCATCAAAGGACTGGACAAAAATACTTATTCACACTCCTTACTAGTTATTCTCAGATCCATTATTCTTTTGTATCCCAACTGATGTGGAAGCATTCTTATATAATAAACAAATTTTCTTTTCTGCAGGCTACACTCGCATCGAAGGACTTGACAAGTACACCGGACTGAAGGCCATCTACCTGGAGTGCAACGGGTTCCGCAAGATCGAGAACCTTGACCATCAGACGGAGCTGCGGTGCCTGTACCTGCAGCAGAACATCATCAGCAGGATTGACAACCTGCAGAACATGGTCCACCTGGACACACTGAATGTCTGCCACAACCATATCACCAGGATAGAGAACATTGGTAAGACGGTTTGACCATACTTCCTATGCGACAATTGCTATTTGTCAGTTTCTCTGTTAATAAAGGTTTTAATGTCAATCCTGGGCTAACATCTGTTTCTAACTTAAACCTTAAACCTGAACTGAATTGAAATGATTAGGCTTATTGATAAAAATTCAAAAGTCACAGCTAAAAGCTGACACATCTTAAATTTACAAATAAAACTGAAAAATATAAAATACATGCAAATAGTACAATGTAGTAGGGTGTCTGAACGATTTTTCAATTTTCAATTTGGGATCGTTTTTCACCATTTTTGTTTGATATTTGAATAAAAAGTGTAATCAGAATAATACATTTCAAATTTGAAGCTTCACCGATGTTTCAATCAAAAGATACAGCCCCTCCAAAACGCTGGTATATTCATATCATTTTGGTCAAAATCGACGAAAAAGACGTCCACGCAGAGTGATGTTGTTTTGCTAAATTTAGCCAAACAGCTGTATCGCGCGATATGCAAGCGTATGCATATCGTACGCATGCTGCTAAGCCAATGCGCGACTTGCAAGCTTGAGCTACGCTGTCTCCGCGACACGTGCCATTGACTAGTATGGTTAGCGTTCGTCGCACAAAAAACCCGGAAGTGAATGCACGTTATAGTCAATGGCAATATCGCGGAGATGTCTCCGCGATATTGCCATTGACTATAACGTGTATTCACTTCCGGGGTTTATGGTGGGAACGGCCATCCATACTTTCATTCACTATAAGCGCACATGTTACGCGATGTAACCATGGTTTGGACTGAGCGGAGCTCACGCCTCCCTAATTAGCTGATTCCAAAAATGTGGGAAGGGTATTTTTAAACTGTTGGGGCGAGTGATCTCTTGGGGCTAGCGAAAAAATAAGTGCATACATATTTTCCTTACGTCTAGCCGGACATAAGCCCGGGGGGCGCAGCTCAGGAAAGTGGCAAATTTTGGAGCTAGGATGCAAACAACATTTAAATCGCTGTTTTTACCAAGATATTTTTAGAATTTCGGGGGTGCGCCCCTTTGGGGAATATGGAGAAAAACCTGCTCTTTCATATGACACCTCATTTATTGAGTTTTACCTTCAGGATCACAAGCCCCAAAGGTTTGAATTTCAATTTTTTTCATAAAATCATTGACCAATTTTCATGGTCGCGCAATGCACGTACATGTAGACTGCATAGGGATGCGTGCAATCTCTATGGGAAGTATTTTAGCACACAACATCGGGTGCGCGATCAGACACCCTAAATGTAGCTCAATGAAAAACCCAGTTTGAATCCTCATCCTATAACTGTGACAAATAAAGCCCAGAGCACATGTTGGATTATCTGGAAAGACATGTTGACTTGTTGCATAAAAACTTAGCATTGATGGTAACTTTGCCTTGGTAATTTCCATGGAAACCTTGATTTGATTGGCTGTTGAGTGATGTTGCCATGGTAGTTGATATTGATGTGGTATTGTTATGCAACGGACCTTGATGTGTTGTAGTGACACATTTTTTTTGCAGGCTGTCTTTTGTCAAAGGTATTGAATTGGTTGTGATTAAGTTAAATTGTAGGGGATTACAAGTGTTCAGTTATTCCACACATAACAAAATGTACCAAAGCGTCTTGGATCTCGGTCTTGACCTTAAATCAACAATCTCGTTCTCAATACATTTAAAAACAAATTTTTTTTAGGGGGGGGGGGTAGATATTTTACACATTCTAAAATGTACATTGGAGAAGGTGTATCATGTTCGGCAATGTGTTGGATCTCCGTCTGATAACCTTAAACCTAGAATCATCAATCTTGTTCTCATTTCTCTCTTCCCCCTCCCCAGCTTGTTTAACGAAGCTGAACACTCTTCAGATCACCCACAACAGACTGACCACGGCGGAAGACCTGATGGAACTCAAGGACTGTCCTAACCTCAGTGTTCTGGATCTCTCTCATAATCGCATCGATGACCCAAAGATCTTGGAGGTCTTTGCGGCCATGCCCGTTCTGGTAAGTCTCTTCTCTTCTTCTTCAAGAAAATCTGCCTCCTTCAATACTGAAGATTCTTACAGATGCCGTATATACCGGTACTCAGCCTGATTTGGGTGAGCAGGTGGACCACTACACCGGGGTTTCCCCCTACTCTTATACGAATAGTGCAGTGGGTTCTTAACGTGCAAGGGTGGTGACTCGCCTCTACACAAACATTAGAAGATAGTTGATTCAAAGTGGAGGGGGTGGGGAGGGGGGGGGGGGGGGGGTGGGACGAAGGGGTCAGGAACCTGCTTCATTAAACTTGTTATCAATAACAAGTTTCATTAACTGCTACTGAAACCATGGCATTCGATTGGCCGAGAGCAGATATGTCATAGAAATTTAGCATTTGTTATTGAAAGCTTCGTGAAATGGCCCCGGATATTTTACTGTTCCGAAATAAAGAATGATATGATTGGGTCTTTTTTACCCAAAGCATCCACATCAGTTTTAATACTGCTCTTCGTGCGGGTTCTGTAATTATTATTACCCCAGCTGATTGGCTTTAACCCGTTTTGTTCATTACAGAGGGTGTTGAATCTGATGAACAACCCGGTCATTAAACGGATCAAGAATTACCGCAAGACACTCATTCGGGACGTGGTAAGTGTGATTATACTCTTAAAATTTAAATCTCAATGACATCTTCCATACACTTTACAAATGGCTTGTATATGAAAAGCCAAATGGGATGCTCAATCTTTATTTACTGCATCAACTAAAGTTGAACTGTGCCGATGTAGATTAACATTGTTATTATAACAACCATTTTTAATGCAAAGTATATTTTGCCTTAATTTAATTGAGGTTATTGGAAATATCAGAAACAAACTTTGGGCATCCTATCTGGCACTTCATATACAAGTCATTCGTAAAGTCATGCGTAACTTTACGAACAGCTTTATGAAACGAACCCCCTGGACTAAAAGCATTACCGGAAAATAGCAGGATATTTCCGTAACTCTCTGCTTTCCGAACAGTTATGTTGGTTCTTGCATCAAGTCCTCTGTCTGCGCACTGTTGGCTAGTTGACCATGAGATGGCGCTGTGCAATAACCAGTATGCTGGGGCAGAAAGTTCATCGGGAATTTGCTTTAAGGTCAATTCCAAGGGTTACGGAATGACATTTCTAGAGAACTGTCTGCATTGAATGAAGAACATTACAGACATTTAAAATCTTCATATTTTCATCAGTATGTGACATCCTCTCGCTAATTTCTGTTTTATTTTTCCTGCCTTTATTTTTGCTCTTCTAGAAAAACTTGACCTATCTGGATGACAGACCTGTATTCCCGAAAGAGAAAGCTTGTACCCTAGCATGGTAAGTACATGTAGCAGAGTGGAAAATACTTTTCTGTTTGTGCGACCTCTTTTAGGATTTGGTGTTTTGTATAAAGTGGGATTTACTTACAATAGTATTTAAAGGCATCGTTAAACAATGTTAAATCTGAGATGCATGGCCCTACGTGCTAGCAGTGTCTGTGATATGGTGTAATATTGAAGCCCTAAAAAATTACGCTTCAAAATAATCAAGAAATGCCTCAAAAAGTAAAAATCTTTGAGTGACCGGTTTTATCATACTCATTTTCCCCAATAAACTGTAGTGTTATAAAAACTGTTAGGAGAACGAAAAATGACATTTCGATTTCCAATATCATAGACATCTCGATAATCGGACAGGCGATCGGCTTGTAAAAGTCATGGGATTCCTGACTGACCTAAAGGTTTATAATTATGATTGCAGCATGAGCTAAATCCAGGATTTTTTTTCAGAATCTGAGGCAATGTTACCCAGTAACTTTAAGAATTTTTTTTTTTTTTACCAGGGCTCTTTTAGAGCTTACTAGAGCTAAATCACTCACCGTTCCTGTGAATTTCTTTTCCTATTTATCAATGGTGAAAACAGATTTGTTTGTTCAATGTGTAGCAAATTCCTAGTGAAGTATACATGCAGGTCCTCACTTGTATGCCTACTTAGCACATTGCTGGTGATGTTGGAGGCATTTTTCTTTGAGGTATCCTAATGGAAATTTCATACAAAAATTGCATCATTTAGACTTTCAATCTCCTTTTGTTATGTTTGTGGCAGTGGTTTTCAAATAGTTTGCTGTACTTAATATACTTGTGGTACCGGTATATCATGTTTACTATTCACCATGTATTGATGTTTTCATGTACAGTACGTCTTTATATGTATTTTTATGTTATCCACGGGCCCCAAGTATTACAAAATATGTAATTAATAAATAATAAGTTATGATTTTCATCATTTACTGTTTTGTTTGCTAGGTGGGAAGGAGGTCGCGAGGCGGAGAAAGCCGAGAGAGATCGTTGGATCAACAAGGAGAGGCAGAAGATCTTGGACAGTGTAGAAGGTAGGGCTGCGTTCAGATAAGACACGCCAAAACAGCGTTTCTTGTTGTTGCGATGCCGTTAAAGTGTAATATGCTTCACATTTCTGTATCTAAACACAGAGCTTGCATGGTGATTACGCGTAAGACCGTTGTTGTCCGCAGTTTTCATTCATTTAAACATTTTTTAACCCATTGCCTACTGGAACCTGGTGGTCCCTGTGTTAAGCCTATGGGAATTAGATAATTCGTCGCTGTTTTCACGAAGTGACGGTAGTGAAAAAAAAAATTGCATTCACTTTGCGTTACGATTTTCCTCACTACCGTCACTTCGTGAAAACAAGGACGAATTCAGTAGCCAACAGGTTAAAACAATTTTTTGGGGGGAGCGGTTTATTGTGCCATCTCAGAAGGAATCTTCAGAGGTACTCATGAGTTCTGGGGGGCGTTTCACAAAATTTGACATCAGTGACAAATAACAGTTGTTGTTATAAGCTACTGAAATCCTTGCTTCTGATTGGTTATCAGCAGATTTGTCACTGATTTTTGTCATTTGTCATTGAAAAAAGGCTTTGTGAAACAGGCCCTTGGTACTCAACTCTTTATATGCCACACAAGTAATGACCCTGTGCCATGTTGTATTCATCATGGGATAGATATTACAAATGCCTTAAAGGGACTTGGTAACATTGTTCAGATGTGAGAAAGTGGTGCTAAGGTAGTGACTTCAATGCTAGATGTACAATTAAAGATAATCTGAAAATTTGAGTGAAAACGGACCATTATTAATGATACAAATTGGGAAAAACTGATCTGATTGATTCCTTAATTCTCCCAACTATATTATTACAATTTAATTACATTTGAGGCAAATGTAAACTGCCACAAGGCAATAAATTGGCTCTACATACCATTCCAGACATTTAAGTGCTGACAGATTTTTGATAGCCTGTTTTATGTCTTTTTTTCATGGAAAAATGGTTAGGGAGATTCAAAAATGGTTGGGAGAATTTACTGTTAATCACTGTTAAAGAGTGTCATACATTGATGCCTTTAAAGAAAACCATAGATATCTTAGTGGTTTGAGAATATTTTCAGGATTGTTTGCATGTCAGAGGGTTAGCACAGTAGAAGGAATATAATAAGTAACATTTTATACAAAAATTTAGCACTTTTTTCATCAATCTTCAACAATGTTACCAATTAAGTCACTTTAAGAGTTTTTAAAACTGTTTCCAGTGCAAGATCAATCTATACCGATGTTAAATAGGTTGTCATGGAGTTAATCAAGACTGAAGATGGACGGTCATTTTGTAAAGCCACTGTGCAATCCCTTCATCAATTGGTGCCTATTGTTTTGTGCAGAATTGTACGTATGGCTAGTGAGTGACCAAGCAGGGAGGCAAAGAAAGCAACCAAAGTATTAGCAATATTTCTATTAAATCTTGCAATTTTTATCACACTAGTTCACTTAATACACATTTTTTTCTCCAAACTATGAAGAAGTGCAATATAAGATTAGTTGTGGCCAATTGAATGAGGGAAGACTGATTAATTTATAAAATAAGAACACCTGAGCACTGTTGCGATTGATTGTAATCAACTGCGAGTCCTCTGATTAATCACAAGTTTGCAGTCTCCTATCTCTTATGTACATAGTTAATAAGTTGTGTTTGATATCAACTGTTTTTAAAGTGAACCAGTAACATTGTTGAAGGTTGATGAAAAAACTGTGTAATTTTTGTATGAAATGTAACTTATTATATAGCTTCTACAGGTATGTAAGTCCTCTAACATGCAACAAATCTTGAAAAAATTCTCAAACCATAAAGATATTTATTTCCCAATTTGTATCATTAATAATGGTCTGTTTTCATTCAAACTTTCAGATTATCTTTAATTGTACACCTAGCATTGAAGTCATTACCTTAGCACCATTTTATCTCATGTAAACAATGTAACCAAGTCCCTTTCAGAGGGGGCCCTGAACTGCAAATGTAAATCTTTAACTATGATTGTAATTTGTTTTCATTTCTAATTTTATAGCTCTTGCTGCCATTAGAAGGAGAAATAAAGAGTAGAGGAAGACTGAAGAATTTTAGAATAAGATAAATTTTTGGCCAATTTGAGGAGGGAAGACTGATTAATTCAGGAAATAACAAAACCCATAACTGCTATTAGTTAAGGAGAGATTTAGATAATTGCTTTAAACATTTTATAATTTGTTTTCATTTCTGTTTTCATAGCTCTCGCTTCTATCAGAAGGAGAAACATAGAGAAGAGGAAAGAAAGAGAAGCCAAAGAGTTAGAAGAGGTATGATTATTTATCTAGATAAAAATGTGTCCCTATGTAAGGACCTTGGGCTGTGTATTCAATAGACCGGTTTACTAACACATTCAAATTAATGGATGTTTCTTTCCTGGGGACCTAGTGACGAGTTATTCCATTAACATGCTATTATTGAATGGAATACAATACTCAGAATCCAGTCTGCATTTATTATGTGCTGCTATGTCGGGCAAACCACAGGCAAGTTTTCATGCCTTCAAGAGCAACCTTTTAAACAGTATGCATAAAAGTTGTATATGTTAGTAATTAAACCGGCCTATTCAGTATGCCGAATACTGAATGATCTATGTGATATACTTCCTGTACTGTACTTTCTTGTCCTCTTTACATATATTTGTATTTGTAAGCGCTATGGTACTTATTGTTTTTAGCGCTCCTAAATATTCAATATTATTATTATTAAGTGGTTGCCATTCATTTACACACACAAAAAAAAAGCGGCAGCTTGTTTCCGGTTTATACACCGTATCTGAACAAGCCTTTAGAGGTATCACTGTATAAGGCTCTTTCAGATATGACGCAAGAAAACTGCATAAAAAATAAATAATAAATAAATTAAATCATGACCTAAAGTGTAATAGATCTGAACGAGCCTTCAGAGGTTTCAGTATCATTTGCTTTTACGTTTCTTCCAGCATGGTCCTGACTTCAAACGAGAGATCCCTGATCCCGAGACCTTCATCCACCAGCCCCCTGAAGATGAAGAGCTCTTTACGTTCAACATTGAGAAACCATCCAGTCAGCAGAAAGCAGGTTAGAAAACAACATTATATCAATCTGTAGAGCTGCCAATCATTACCTTTTTCCAGGAATTATTCTGTTTTTCTCACAAATTACAGTAGTACGTTTTTCTTCATAAAATATTTCTTTAAAAAAAAAAAAAAAAATTATATTTTTTTGTTTTGTTTTTGTTTTGGCACATCAACCAAATGCTGTAAAATGTTGATCACTGCTTCAATAGTAAACAAAAAGACGGAAAAAAGTGAAAGGTGTAAATATTCTCCAAAAGAATGAAACGCTGATATTACCAAAAGACAGCAACGAAAAACTACCTACTTGTAAATAAACTTTAGATCCTAATAGGGAATTATCAGCATGAAGAATGGACATTTCTGCATTGGAAATGTGTCGCGAGTGGTTGTAAATTTCGTTTTAATGAATTCCTTATTTTCGGTGAAATTCCTTTTTGTTCTGCCATCATGGTTCCCTTTTTTGGTTGCACAAGGTTGGCAGCTCTGAATCTGTAGGACTGAACTTAAAATTATATGAAGATCTATTTATTTGGATCTAGAGAAACCAACTAAAGTGGTTAGATAACAGCAATAACAACATCCACAACCGCAGCAACAACATTTCAATGATATCAGAAACATAAACAACACCAAGGTCAACAGCAAAGACATCATCAGCAACAAGGACATCATCTACGACGGCCTCCGTCTGACAAAGAACGCTGTTTGCGTTTGAAAGTACTCATTAAAGATTTTTTTATTCTAAAATTGATTGTGTAAAAAGAAGTTTTCAACTGTGCAGTTTATTTATTCATTTCTTATTTTTTGGTTTAGCTTCAGTCAGCCCTCGAGCAGCTTGGTCTGATCAACCAACATCTTCAGAAGATATTGATGAAGGAAAGATTAACATTGATGTAAGTACATGTATAAAGAGATTGGGGGTGTTTCATAAAGCTGTTCGTATAGTTACGCATGATTTTACGAATGACTTGTATATGAAGTGCCAAATAAGATGCCCAAAGTTTTTTCTGATATTTCCAATAACCTCAATTAAATTAAGGCAAAAAATATACTTTGCATTAAAAATGTTTGTAATAATAAGAATGTTAATCTACATCTGCACAGTTCAACTTACATGTAAGTTGATGCAGTTAAAAATGATTGAGCATCCCATTTGGCTTTTCATATATAAGTCATTTGTAAAGTCATGCATGACTTTAGGAACAACTTTATGAAACACCGCCCTGGCCCCTGTTCATAAAACCCATTACTGCCCGCCATTTCTTTTTTTTGAGGAATACAGTGTAATTCCTATTTTTCCTCTTCAGTAGGTTGTTTAGTTGTATTTCATTGTTGTTTGTTGTTCGTTTGTTTGTTTTAATAGACTGCCAAGGAAGTAAGCTTGTAAGTAAGCAGTCAGGGGACCGATGTCTTTAAGTCGTCTCTGGGGGACTTGGTAATGAGGGTTAATGCCTTTCCAATGGGCACTAGTGCATCGACTTGGTTTTGAACCTGGGACCTCCCGGTTACAAGACCATTGTTCTACCACTGAGCCACTTATTCATTGTATGAATGTCTCTTGCCCTAGCTTCCGGTAAAAGAGACCCTCTATCAGAGTCCTCTCGTTTTCTAAAAACCACTGTATAAAGTAATAGTCTCAGGAGATTCCTATTTTTAGGGGCATTGAAAGGTTGGCAGGTGTGAAACCTTTTATCAATAACAAATGCTGCATTTCTATAACAAATTAGCTCACAGCCAATCAAATGCACCAGTTTCAGAACATTAATTGTAACTGCTTTCACATTTTCCATAGATCAATTCAAAAGAATATGAAGTCATTTGGTAGCTGTCACTAATCTACACAAAATGTGATACTAACCTCCAAAATACAAAAACTGACTCAAGTGCGAACATTTCAGATTAGGAGATGTATTTTAAAATTTTTAAACAGCGTCCAGTCATTCTTCTTCTCATACCAACAATTTTTTTTGGCAGGGTGATTATTATGCATGGAATTCTAATCTTTCTCATTGCAGGATCTTCCCGACCTAGAGGACATCGATGAAGACGAGATGATGTGGGCCAGAAAATCACAAAATGTAAGCTTTAGAATGTATTAAGAAAAGATATGAAATGAAATGGTTTACGTGAAAACATGCTGTTTAGTGTGGATTTTCTGTTTATTAGATTTTAAAATTTCACTGAATTTCATTGTATGCTGCACAAAGCAATATTCACATCAATTGGTGTCTTTTGACCGTGCGAAGAGGCGAAGAAAGTACCCAAAGTGTTTTTAAACCCTGCCTTAATGCATAGAGTGATGAACTCCATGACAATACTTTTGACAACGGTATAGATTAATCTTGCCCTGGAAACAGTTGAATAATCTGTGGCACAAAGAGAGATTATTTGTGTGGCCTGCATGTTTAACCTGTTGACTACTGAATTGTCTAATCCCCATAGGCTTAATGCAGGGAACACGAGGTTTTCAGAAAGCAATGGGTTAAGAGATGGAGTTAAGCCAGATTGGCTTTAAAGCCCTTCTGTACTACTTGCTCCCTCTATAGAGAAAACAATGCCTAATCAGTAACCATTGGTCCCCATGATCCTCTTTTTCTTATGTTAATTGAGAGCTGATTTGATGAGATAACCACCTGTCACTGACCACCCTGTGTGGTCTCATCCCTCCTGGCCAAACTAGTACAGCCGGCCTTTAAAGAATACAGGCCACTACCTTGAAGGAAGATTTATTGAACAGTCTTGAATGTTTGTTCGTGATAATAGATTTATCCCCTTTTGGGCCCTTTCTTTCTCATCAGAAACTACTCATTGAAGACATTACTCCAACCAAGCAAACAGCTTCCGTAGCAACGGATGACAGCAAACCCTCCTCATCAAGTCGTATTCTCATAGAAGAGTTCGAACCAATCAAGAGTGAAGTAAGCCGGCCGACAGGGAGAGGAGATGCTATGGTGTCCCCAACGAGTATGATTGAAGATATCACATTATCCGAAGGCCCTGCTAAAGAGGTAGGTTGATAAATTCAGTCCTTTGTAAAATTCTTTGTTGTTGTTAAAAAATGATTTTCGTTTCCAATATCCTACTGGTATAAGATAATATTTTCCTACCATTATTGCATATCCCTGCATTGTCCCATATTTGATGAATGCAGAAGACAGGTGCCTAACGTGCTGCAATTTTTATGAGTGTTTCATTCAAGCCTGTCTGCACTAGTTTGGCCAAGAGGGATTAGACCGCCCTGCATGGTCACCCACAGGTTTTTATCACATCAAATCAGCTCTCAATTAACATAATAAAAAGGGGATCATGGGGGACCAACGGGTACCGCTAAGGTATTGTTTGCTATATAGAGGGCGCAAGTAGCTATAAGTAGTGCAGTGGGGCTTTAAATCATGATGACCTTAATGCCATGCCTTTATCTTTCTTCCCTCAACAGGAGAAAAGCTTTGATCAACTCAAGGCAGAGTTCAGCGACATGGAGACGAGGTTGCCGAGAAGCTGGCAGCTGAAAGAGCAGTTCAGTGCTGCACCCAGCGGCTCCCTGGGGGAGGAGGTTGCCACAGCGCAAGAAGCTGCACCACCAAGCAGACTCCTAGTGGAAGAGCTAGGGCCTGTGAGTGATGGTGATGGTGCAGCGAGGGGTTCACTGGGGGAGGAGGAGGCCGATGAGGAGAGTGAAATGATCAAAGAGAGGAAAGAAGATGAATACCTCACTTCTGAACAAGGTTTGTATTTTGTCACTAAAGGCTCAATTGTTGCACTCCCGCAAACAATGCCTCCTGTTCATCCAAGCGTCAACACATAGTACACAAAAATGATACCAAAAGATTTGCGGATAAAACACTCTTTCATAAGATGTATAATAATTTACTGTTTATATATGATTTAATTTTTTTTTAGCAATGTTCTAGGAGTAAACTTTTGTTTGACTCGCACAGTACTGGAAAAGGAAAGGAGAACAAAAAGCATGTGTTTTAATTGTTATGTGTACCGGTAATTGAATGGGAAGTGTGTGGAACAAAGGTCCTATGTGTATTTACCTTGCTTTAGGCTGTAAGATACTGAAATGTGAAGCATAGTACACATTTCATCATCATTGAAAAACAACTGCAGCGGGTTTGCCATTTCATATCTGAACAAGACCTCAGTTTAATGGTACATAAATTATTTGTACAGTGTGAAGAAAGGCATATTTGAAAGGAAGTTAGAAGATGAACATTTTTAGTTTTGGGAATTAGTACATTCTTTTCAGATCTATACAAATAAAAAAGGTAGCAAAAAATAAAAGGAAAATATTTATTTTGCATTATTTACTTACACAGCTTATCAATTTGGGCTTTGCAGATTCCTGACCTAAATCACACCCCATTATTTTTCGGGGGCACTTTAACTTCTGTTTATGTTGTTGCGATTCTTGCGATTTAATCTGAAGAGCTTTAGAATGTCTATAAGGCCTTAAAAAAAATGTTTTATTGCCCTTCAGGTGCCAAAGCATGGGTCGGTCGGTCGGTCGGAAATCTTTTTTTTCTTCTTTTTTTTCCTGCTAGGTGATATTTCTCGCTTTTCTTAAAATGCGGTAAAAAAAAAACTTTTTTAAAATGCTGACCGTAGATTTCAATATTTTTGGGTCGGTCGCAAAGGGCAATACAACATTTTTTTTTTTTAGGCCTTATAGTTCTTTGCCTTAATGAGTTAACAATGTTTTTTTTTCCTTTTCTCTTTAATTAATTAAATAATGGCAAAGGGCAATACAGCATGTTCTTTTAGACCTCATAGTTCTTTGCCTTAATGAGTTAACAATGGTTCTTTTCCTTTTCTTTTTAATTGATTGAATCATGCAGAGAGGCAGAAGGAGATTGAGCAGAAGATTTGGGAGCTGGCAGCCAACGCAGGATCCACACTGGACCGGAATGAGACGGGCGGTCTCAACAGCGAACTTATGAGAACACTCAGGTCAAAATACCAGGGCATGGGACCTTAAGGTGTCTTAATGGAAACATGGGGCCTTAAGGTGTCTTAATGGACACATGGGGCCTTAGGGTGTCTTAATGGAGACATGGGGCCTTAAGGTGTCTTAATGGAGACTGGGGGCCTTAAGGTGTCTTAATAGATGGAGGATGCCCACACCAGAGTTTTTTGTCTAGGAACTGGCTCTATTACCAACATTGCATTGGTTTTAACCAGGTATACATTTTGAAGACGTTAACAATTTGAAACTGGGAGTCTCAACGGCGAACTTATGAGAACACTCATGTCAAAATACCAGGGCATGGGGCCTTAGGGCGTCACCTTTGATAGAGCTTGCTGACAGTTGCAATTGCGGGACATTTGGTCAAGATCTTGTTTCCAAAATATCCCGCTAATTTGCACCCATCCGAGCTAGTTTGTGATATCCCGAGTCTGAAAATAGCGTGTTATTTGACAATCTCGAGCTAATGAGGACAGGGTAAGTTTTTTCTTTTGAAAGTGGTGTCAGGAGTGGGATTTCAAAATTTGATTTGCTCTGACCTTTCACCTTGATCTTGACCTTTTGCCCTGCCGACCTCCACTGACATTCCTGAAAATACATTCTGGTTCAATGACATTATCCCCGTATGATGCAACACTACATTGTGTTACATTTGATGTTTAACTTTAAATATGCCATTAAAAGAATATCCCTCTGCCACATTCCATTATATATCAGCGGATAAATATACAGAAGTCTTGAAGATCATTAAGTGTTTTCCAGGGCTAGAGTAATCTATACCAGTGATAAAAGGGTCGCCATGGAACTACTCAAGACTGCAGATGAGTTATTTGCAAAGCCATTGTTGCATAAAGCAATCCTTCGACCAATTGGTGCATATTGATTCGTGCAAAATTGCATGTTTGGCGAACGAGCGAATGTGCTGAGAGACGAGGATAGCAACCAAATGTTATATGAGGCTTGTTTCGCCAATTATCTGTTCCCCCCTCAAGGACATACCCCAAAATAATATTTCTCATCCAAAGGAAAGTGCAGTGAGGATAAAGTAAATATCTTTGTAATAAATTGGTGCTTGAAGCTAGCTTTCTAGAGTTGGTACTAAAACTAAGACTTTCCCTGTTTCCTTAAGCCCCACTGTTCTACTTGTAGCTACTTGCATTGCTCCCTCTATATAGAAAACTTCCCCAATCGGTGCCTGTTGATCCCCCATGATCCTCTTTTTCTTATGTTAGTTGAGAGCTGAGTTAATGAGATAGCCACCTGTCAGTGACCTCGCTGTGTGGTCTAATTCCTTCTGGCCCAGTAGTATTGACGGTCCTTAAAACGTGATTATCTCATTTTGACATCAGAGGGAGTTGGTAATCAAAATGCACCAAATGAATTTTCTCTTTCCGTCCCAGTATCGATTCAAGCTACACATATGTATTCAGATGTGTGAAAATGTACACTTTACATTAGTGCATTACAGTCCATGGTAGCATTCCAGGAAGCGGTCTTAAGTACAAATTGGCAGACAACTCTTTGAAGTGCGTGTATTGAATTTAACACATAGTTCAATAGGATATCGGTGAACTTGTATTTTATGACGGTCTCGTGTAATTTTACCCTTGTTTACTTTATGTATAACATTTTCTGATACTTGTTGAGAAAATGCTTTTTCCTAGCAAAATTAGCATATTTGTGCATGTAAATATCATAATTACTTTGTGTGTATTATTATTTACATTGTATTTATCAAATGGAAATGATTAAGATTTTATTATGTGTATATAGTGTAATATATGCAAAATTTACATATTTGTGTATGTCAATATCAGGCAGATTACTTTGTGTGTATTATTATTTACATCTTATTTATCAAATGGAAATGATTAAGATTGTATTATGTGTATATAGCGTTGGATAACATCATCTTTATACTCTGTCTGTTGCAGGATAACAGAAACTGTTCTTTATATAAAAATTTGCCTTGAAATAAAAAAGTGTTTTGAAGATTAGAAAACTGTATTTTGTATCATTATTCATACTCTGTACATATATGTCTCAGGTATCTTAACCATTGCTAGTGGCATGACTATATGCATCTTGAATGCACAAGGCAGAATAGTTTGAATTTAAATTTGAGTTCTTATCTGAATGAAAGTTTAATTAATACTAAGCCTTATCAAGACAATAAACATATTTAACAAATCCATTTCGTATGAAGTTGGATCTACGTCAGTGTGAAAAAAGATGATCTTCAACATTTATAAATTGCACATTGCTGACGCAACTTCATGCAAGTATCATTTGCTAAACTACATAACTCACTACAGTATAAGAAATACATTACATACATTTGATAGTAATACACACTGTTGAATATAAAGTTGGAATAGTTTGTCTTTACCTGGGCCTTGTTTCATAATACTTGTTATCAATAACAAATGATAGATTTCTATGACAAATTTGTTGTCGTCCAATCAAATGCCACGATTTTGGTAGCTTACAACAGTAATTGTAACTTGTCATTGATCACAAGTTTTATGAAACAGGGTCGAGCTTCATCAAATGGTAGTGACAATAATTACGATTAATTCTTGATGTGTAAAGTTTACATCTTCTCTTAGAACTGTATTGATCAATCTAAAAAATCACAGAGTTGGGTCACTAAACCTGTGACAAGATTTAAACTGTATCTATCAAGCATAAATCGTTTTGTCACAGTCATTTCATGAAAAGAGGTAAAGAAAGATTATTCCAACCATGTATATGTTAACCTAAAGCCTCGGGCACAAATGCTATTACGAACTGCTACGAACGCCGTACGAACGATTTTCAGACAATGGAAATTCGGGAAGACAATGGAAAAACAGGGAGATTCGTACGAAATTATCGTTCGTTCAAACCTTTGTGACCGTAGCATTAGTGGTGTGCGTTTGTGGTCTAATTTGATAACCGTGACTGTCATAGAAACAAGGTACACAAAGTCATATTATTTTTTAACATAGGAATTTTTTAATTGACATTGCTTCACTATTTAAAACAAACATCACAATACTTTAAGTTTGGCCCTTCTGGCAGACCACCATAGCATTAGTAACAACAATGAGTGAGTTAGCAGACGGGTTTTGTCTCGTTTTGTTATAAGTTAACATTACGTGTTGCACGATAATATAAATTCAGTATTTATAATCCAGTTCTTTTCCAGTAACCCTTTGTTTATAGGCAATAGAAAACGGCTAATTGATATCTGTAACAACTCTCTACATCCTAGCGATAATACACAGCTAACATACAACCTATTCACTATAGTATACCTCTTTAATTTTTTTTCAATTTTTCTCCAATTTTTCTTTCGTCAAAAGTGCGCGATAAGACTCAATGGTAAATACAGATGAAGTGAGAAAAGAAGTCCATATATCAACAGTGAAACGTTTTCAGGCAGAACAAAAAAAAATCGACATGAAATGTTTATGAACAATATACATACATATTCCTTAATGTATAACTTGGTTTCTTTTTGTAATATATATATTTATATATCACAACGATGTTGGTCTTTTAAAAATTAAAGTCAAATGATACATACTGACTATATTGCAATGTACTGTAAGTAAGCAAGCTATATACTGTGTAAACCTATCCTTGTCGTTAGTTGGTCTCCGGCAAGGAAAGGGTTAAATAGCATTTCCTAACGACTACATCTAGATAGCGACTACTAGAGACTACCACATACAACACTAACTTTACCACGGTACACTATGGCAGTCCAGCACATCATATGATACATTTATGTACATCGTTACACAGCATTAGTCAATTAATAAATAAGAATTGCAGTTGCAAAAGGATTCTAATGCCACTGGTCATTATTCACACCACGCTGCAGGCTGCATGGTGATACGCTGCAGGCTGCATGGTGATGCACAGCCTTGTGAGCTAGCTTTTTTCCCCCAAATCAGGCTTAATTGGAGATAACCCCTTTTAGCGCTGGTGAGGAGTAACAACCATGTGGCATTAAAGCCTTTATGTAACTCAACTCTTTTTCTTTTTGTTATCACGTGTCTCAAATGCTTTATCTTGCGTCTATATATAGATATATCTTTAGTGCTATTAAAATAAGACTTGGTAATAATACAGAACAAAAGCAAGAACGTAATAAACGAAAGTTTCTAAAAGTTAAACTTAATTGCAAGAATGGTGACAAAATAAACGACACATTTAGTTCCATTCTGTAAAATGTGCAGCCATTGGAAATCTCATTAATGGCTCAACTAGAGCCACACATCATTCTACTTCTTTCCTAGTATCACACATGCTGATAGATCACTGTCATGAATAATAAATTACCTTCAAATAGAAGTGTGTTGTTGATATTGATACGCCGGGAAATACGTCTTGGTAATATCATGAACTGGTATTTTCCTGATTTTAAATGGTTTTAATCACGTTCAAAGCTAATTCCAATCTCATCTTAAATTACAACCGTTACCTTCTTTTATAATATGTCAGTCACTGTTATACATGCAATTGCTGAACTTTGAATTAATTACTTGGTCATCAGTTAACTCGACAGCTGTTAAACCGCTACAAAGACATTTCTAACCTTAGACCCTTTAGAAAAATTATACATTATCTAACATTTATACCAATACAATATTAAATAATACTTTCCTCCAGCCCTCTCTCGCCCACGTTCACACTCAAATGCCCATTCACATTACCCATGATCCATCACGAGCTCACTCACATTCAAATGACATTAAAGTTAGTAGTTACATTATTCATATCCGTTCGGTATAAATAAGCGATAAGTCGGGTGAAGGTATATACACATATCAATCAGGTTGCATGCAAAAAAAAGCAAAATACAAACTACATGTAAGAATATCCACAGAAGAATATGCCCTTACACAAAACATAAAGCACTTTTAACATACACCGTTTTAACAACGAGTAATGTTTATATACCGAATGCGAATTCTAATCGTAACGGAACTTAACACTTGAGGCCGTGTTGAATGTTACATCGCTATTCCTAAACGATAGAGAGTACCAAAGTGTGACGTCATAATAGCCAAGCTGTCAAGGTTGCATGCTGGGTCCAAACAATTTTGCGCTGAACAACGTGGCGGCGATCACCAAACACTGAATTTGCCTTGCTCCAGTCCGTTGCTTGGATGATTTCGCAGTGAACCTCATGCGCAGGCTCTGTTGTTTGGAACCATTCATCGACGACAAATTGCGCGAACATGGCGTTAGCACTTCAGTACTCTTTAGACCCTCGTTATGGCAAGCTTTGGTCATTAATACGGTTATGAAATAAAAAAATAAAAAACGGAAATAAAAATGAAATCGAAGACGGAAGTACGGTGATAGGTATAAAAAGTAAAATATAAACATAAAACACAATATGAGACGCTTAAAACAACGGAAGCAACTTGCGTGGCAACATGGTACTTTCATATGCATAGCAGTTTGGTTTTCTTCTTCTGTCTTTCTCTATGTTCTGACCACCTAATGCGTATTAGAATAACATTCTATAATTATAGTAATATTAGGTCTGATCATCTGATGACAATTTTGTTGACAATTTCTGATTTTTGCTCACATTTGGAACGGAATGTACGACGGTCGTCTTGAGTAACACTGAGAATGCTGTTGTCGTTCATTAAAAAAGTGGTCCCTATACAGGATACCATTAATCAACCCAATACATGCCTCATCATGGCTTTGCTTTCATAGGATGGTTAACTTTACGTTATTACTAGCCCAAATGATTTGTAGTACTTCACATAGTTTGTACATGCAAAATGCTATCTTTTGCAGATGTTTCGTTCTCAATATGCAGAACGAATTACCAAATTTGTGTACACAGTAGGATTTTATATATTATGCTTGCTACTTATGTTTGATATAGCTTATATAGTTCGTAGAAAATAGAAATAAATTTGGCGCCATGTTTGTCCCGATAATGTCATGTTTGTAAGGCAAAATCAAGGAGAATCTCTTTTTTTGGAGAATGATAGAATAACATTGCTCAGGTTAGAAGGTTGTTTCTGGCTGATTGAACTACGATTTTTTCCCTCACAAAAATGGCTCGAAAACAATGATATCGCCGTTTCATTAAAAAATATCGAAAAGATGTCCTTCTTTGCTAATAAGCGGGGGGTGTCTGCTATTTGTGGGGAGACTCTGGTTATATTCTCTTGTTATAATGTCATAAAAATCTAAACGTATATTTTAGCACCAGTCGTGATGTTACTTGAAAAAGTAGTAGGGTGTAATTATAATGATAAGTAGGCCTATACTGGGTGTCATAAATATGATTTATGTGGTAAATGTACATCAATTAACAGACTTCTGCTTGGTAAAAATGACGTTTAGTCTAACATTATGACAATCTTAACAGTTATTAACAATTCTCTTTGCTTAGTATGCTAGAAAATACCACGACTACTTAATATTACGTTCGATATCATACGTATATTCTCCCTAAACCTCCTAATTTCAATGTTTATATGTTTGAATATATTTGTCAAACAAAAAGAAGATTAAAAAAAGTGAATAAAAGAATATGTACACCGGAAGCCGTAAAATGAAGAAACACATTTTGGTTTTACCCTTACCATTGTAAACCAAACACAAGGCACCATTCCTGTCGTTAATGAAAAAAAAAATTACAAAAACGATCACTTTCTAGCAGAATAATCTCACTGTAAAAACTCCAAACATTCTGACTAATGCTTTTTTTCTCCACGTTTATAACAAGTCTATGAAAACCTTTGTAAAGCTATCTATTTCTCCTTTTTGTGTTTTATGTTTAGTATCCTACTTAGGAAAATGGGTATAGGCCTAGTCTTTGTTGTAATAACTCACAGAAAATTGGAAGAAAAGAATTAAAGCCAGGCAAACTTTATCAACAACCAATTTTTTTATAATTTGTATTATCTACAGAAAGATCTGACGATTTCCCATTCACAAACAGCAAAATGGTATGGCATTATTCTCTTTCCATTTGTCATTAGCGTAGTTTAGGCAATTTGCTTCATGATCGTGTCAAAATCAATATATTCGTCTATTACGAGTCTAACGCCCGATGCACACGAGTTGTCTCTTTGATGACGCAAGGTTGCGTCAGCGATTACCGTGGTTTTTGACGCACCGTGTGAGGGCGCTAGCTTACAGCATGTGCATGGAAAGTGAACAGCGCAAACGTTGCGTTTAGTTCCTGGCGTATGAGCTAATTGCCATTGCAGGTTCGACTGACGCAAACGAAATGACGCCCAGTGTGCAATGGACAAAAGAATCAAGAATTAACCCCCTGTATTGACGTAACAAAGGGAGGGGTGACGAAGTGTGCGTTTACACACGACGAACATGAGAAATCTGCGTTCACATCAAGAAACATGTAATTCTCTCTTGCCACTTATCTACTTGTGGGAAACGTAACTTAACTACATCATACAGCGGTGATAGAGAACTATATACGTTAAAAGTAAGAACGCATCATTTAAATATCATCAATAAACAAGTAACGCTCTCCAAGCAAACAAATCAAACATCGGGTATGTGTTTGAAAAAATGTCCAATTTGATAAAACTTTCTCTTTCTCTCTCTCTAATCATTTTCCCTTCTTGCTTGAAGAAATCCTATTCTGCTGTTTCAGTGGCAGCGCCCTCTTCGGCGGGTTTCTCATCTGAGGCGGGTTTGTCCTCTGATGCCGCTTCCTCCTTCTTTTCTTCGGCGTTCGTCTCTTCGGCTTTCTCCTCGGCCTTCTCCTCGGCCTTTTCCGGTTCGGCTTCCCCGTTCTCGGCAGGTACCTCCTCGTCGGGCTTGGCTTCTCCTTCCTCTTCTTTGTTCTCCTCTTCTCCTTCTGCCTTGCCGTCCTTCTTCTCCTTCTTATCCTGCCCCGTCAACTTCTTCCAGTACTGTGGGGAGAAAGTGAATTGGTGAGAATATTGGATGGAAACCATTAAAAAGAAGTTCCGGGAAATGTGAAAAACGAATTTGTGAGATTTGTCATTCTATATCATGTTAGTGTCGAAGGGTATCGTACAAAAGTTTTCCCCTGAAAAGGATTGCTGTTCACATGCCCTCGTATTCAAGATATGGCAAGGAACAGCTAAGGGTGTGGACAGCGTTTATTTGCCACATGTTGTATAGTCCAATTTCTCCGCGCGGCCCACTATCTTTAGGAAAACTTGACAAATGTCGTATAATTTAGATGATTCCAAAACCTCACATTATATATCAATATTTATTTGCTACCTGGTCAACCTTTCTCAATTGCTTTAATCAAAAAATCTTTTTCAATCCAATCTAAAACCTCAAAACACAAGTTTGTCTTGAACTTTTTGCCTGCTTCGGTAAATGAATAGAGCAAACAGTGGTCTGCCACAGGCGACTTTTGTTACAATCATGTATGCAAAATATAGCCTACACTCAAACTTTGTGGTAGTTGAGGGTTCCAGCACCAGACAAAGTCACCACAAAAGAAGGTTATGGGTATGAGCAACAAACGAAGAGAGAGGGAGATTAAGATAGATGGGTAGAGAGAGAGAGAGAGAGAGATGGGGTGGGAATAAGCAGTAGAGAGCTACACAGAAAGAGAAAGAACAAGATGGATCTGGAGAAAACAAGTGCGAAATATCGTCAGGGCCCCGTTGCATAAAAGTTGTCACTAACTTAGCAATCAATGGTAACTTCCATGGAATACTTGATTTTGATTGGCTGTTGAGCAATGTTACCATGGTAGGCACCATTAATGGTAAGTCTTATGCAACAGGTCCCTGCTCGCTATTTTCATAAACTTTACCGTGTTGATGTCGTCATAAAGCGATACTGGGTAGCCGACCGTGACCTTGTTGACCATCATCTTGGGCATCCATCCTTTGAGATTGACCTGACCTACCCAGGTCACGTGGGTCGCGACCTCATCGCCCTCCTTAGGTCTGATCACAATGCCCATTACACCGACATCAGCCCTGCAAAGACAAGCATCATGTGAGAGGCAGGCTAATTAGTATTCCATATTTTACAAGTTGATATTTGTTACGATTACAAACCTTAAAGGCATCGTTTAACAATGTTAAATCTGATATGCATGGCCCTACTTGTTATCATGTGTCTGTGATGTGGTGTAATATTGAAGCCCTGAAAAAAGGTGCACTCCAAAATGATCATGAAGTGCATCAAAAAAGTAAAAATGTTTAAGTGACCGGTTTTACCATACTCATTTCCCCCAAGAATAGACTGCAGTGTTATAAAAACTGTTGGGATAACAGTTTTTGAAATTTCGTATTCCAATCATAAATATCGTAATAGTGACTGAGTGACTTAAAGGTTTATAATTATGATTGTAGCATGAGCTAACTCCAGAATTTTGTTTAGAATCTGAGACAAAGATACCCAATCCCTTTAAAATGTTTCCTTTGTTGTTTCTTTGTTACTTTTTTTGCTTATATTATGACACTCCCACACGCATTTTATAATTATATATCCAGTTAAAAATGTACGTGTCCCGTATTTTAATTGATGGTTTTCTCTGGTGATTCAGTATTGTATTTACATCGTTTCCTGATGCTATCTTGAATGCGTAAGTTGAAACTTTGTGTACAAATACAAATCTTATGTGTTTTGTTTTTGCTCTATGACGTTTTACGGCTATCAGAGAAGCCCTATGTTTACTATTACAAATCCGATTACAAATATCACTTGCTATTTGTTGTTGGGTGATTTGTTCGTGAAATTTGATGGTATTTTTGTACTTTTACGTTGTTTGATGGTTATATATGTGGTGTAAAAGACAGACCTTATAAATGGCAATCATTACAAATATCATGTTTCTTATTCAAGCCTTATGTCATCACTCCTCAGCTGTTGGGGGTTTGATCAGATGATAGAGATATTTGTTAAGGATGGTGTTGCAGAGTGCTTTTACGTCATTAGCTGATACTCTGTTATGTCTAAGGGTTAAACGTTATGTCTTCCTGACAAAAGCTACGTCTACCATGACAAACATTATAGTACTACCTTATGTTTACCAATACAAATCTTTTGTGTCCATTAGGTAATGAGATATTTAATGTCATATATATATATATATATATACCACTACCAAACTTATGTGTCCATTGTGTTTAATGTGGTTGTTAACATTGTGATGTTTAATGTCTTTATTATATCTTCCACTACAAACCTTATTAATCTATTTTGTTAGGTGATTATTCATACTATGATATTTAGTGTCTTATATCAACCACTACAAACCTTATGTGTCTATATTGTTAGGTTGGTGTTAATATTGTGTATTTAGTGTCTTATATCTACCATTACAAACCTTATGTATCCATGTTGTTAGGTCGTGGTTCATATTGTGATAATGAAAGTCTTGTATCTACCACTACAAACCTTATGTGTCTATATTGTTAGGTGGTGGTTCATATTGTGATAATGAATTTCTTATATCTACCATTACAAACCTTATGTGTCCCTTGCTGGTGGGTGGTTTGCTCGGGTGATTGCAGCTCTTGTAGAGGATGGTATGGCGGATGGGTTCTTCATCTGATCTTACTACGCAGCATTGGACAACATCACGATCATCGCAGGCGGTTGGCATCTTGAATACTCTGCAAGGTGACCATTAAGATGAAAGACTTATACATCAGCAAATATCAATTAGCATTAGTGAAAGAATCAAACACTTATGAGAAATACATCTACTATGGAATAGCAATGTTTTCTTTGAAGCTCGGACACGTTACCTACAAAAATTACCCTTGCAACAAATATTTAAAAAAATAATTAAACGGTGGAAGCTAAACAGTGCTACAATCAACTATTGCTTAGTGTATTTGCAGCGTCAACAAATGAAACAAAAAGTAAACTCGAGAAGAAATCGAGAATTCGCAGACAAAAAATAAACATTTGGGTAAACTGAGAGTGAGGATGGGGGGGGGGGGGGGCGAGTGCCCCCTCGGTTAATTGATTAGTAGGGACTTTTAGATTTGCACGTCGACATAGAGGACGTCCTTTTAATGCAATGTGACTTCCTTTTAAGGCACCGCCATTGCCTTAAAAGGACGTCACACTTAGCAGTCCACTATGTCGACGTGTAAATCTAAAAGGCTCTAATAATTTAATGACAATGAAAAGAGCGTCTTATCGTAAACACAACGTCAAATTAAATATGTTCAGCTTGGACAGTGGCCAAGTATGTTGTTTTCAAACGCAAGCGGAGTTACGTGGGAGACAGGATGGGTTCGAGTGCTTCACAAATAATACACTTCAGAATCGTCACAACTAAAATAGACAATCGCCCTCAGATTTTGTCCTTGAAATGGTTCAGGTTTTTGACAGAAAAACACTTGAAGTACTTGGTCAATGTTTTTAAAAATCAAGGAAACTGTCTCTATAGTGATTTATCCGTATTATACTATGAATGACGATTGAGTGGTTCGAATAAATCAAACAAAAACATGCCTAAATCAATAATGTTTGCTCTGTAGGTACTTACATTTCATTCATCTGTATGACGTTACGTTATGGAAAGATGAATAAACCACTGTAAATTGTGTCAATTACCAACCATAATTTAATGCCTGAAATAACCAAGGTATGGGCGTCTAATTGGGATTCAATAGCGTTTGCAACCCTAGTATAGGCGTATCTAATACATATACAATTTAGAAACCAAACAAAATATATATTCGTTTAAAAGATATTGATAAAGGGGAAAGGGGTGGGATTAGGTCATGTTCCTCTAGTAGATCTAAGCTTTGGCAATAAAATATGATTTAATTTTCTTCGGTAACTCCGAAAAAGGCGGAGGGGTTTGGGGGGGGGGGTGGAACCGCACAATGCTAGAAAATGCAATAGCAGTCAAACGCCTCTTCGTACATGACACGTAGTCAATAGATTGGTAATATAATTAAAACAATTCTTCCTGATTTGTCAGACTGATGTTTCCTCGCCAATTATATACGAAATCAATAAAATGAATATGATCTTTTGTTTCCTTCTTAGACCTGTCAAACATATTTATACACTGTATCAAGGAGTGACTGTTAATATCTTTAAGAGGCCATTTAAGCTAAATAAATAGTATGCTCTCTGGAATATGATACATCTGCATGTATAACTAAGTACGCTTCGTAAGGTTTTTTTTCTATGCGCATGTAAATACGGAAATAGTCAAACTGTAGACACACATATGTTTCAGCTCTTGAATGTATCTAAATAATAAAACGTTAAGTGTCAAGTTAACACTCAGCAATATGTCATTTTCGTTATGTTATCAAATTTGATGCACAAATCTTTGTTAAATGCCTAGTTATAAATCCTTGAGTTCACTTGTTACGAATAATGGTATTTCAATATTCAGAATGCGAATTATGTATATAAAGCGTTGATAGGTAAGGCAAGTCATAATATTTATCTTACCAAAGCAACCATTAATGTATGCTATACGTTTTCTGATTATTGAAATACAGGCATTCGAAACAAGTGAATTAAATAATTTGTAACGAATTAAGCAATTTGTGTATTAAATTTGATTACCCTACGAAAATGGTCTATTAACATATAACAATTACTGAGTCCGATTGATGCTATATATACGTTTACTAATTGTATGCAACTTCTTGAATAAATGATTCCGTTGTCAACTGAAAGGATTGCCAGAGGGTTGCCAGACATAGCAAGAGCTAGTGTATGCAAAGCGGATTCTATCTAAAGAGATGCCAGTATGTATTGCAGGTATATTTCATAGTTCATAACCAGAGGTTCTACAGAGAATCATGCATACTTTGAAATACATTAGTATTTTTAGTAACCAGGGGGGGGGGGGAGAGGGTTAACAAAAACTAAGATTGACTTCAAGTTGGACCTAACTATGGCAGGCCATTCATGCCACTGTTTTGCTCTCACCATTTCACTGGCATTGGTCTCTGATGGGACGTGCAAATCATGGTCCCAAATCTACAGAATTTACTTTTTTGGATAATTAATTATTGAAAATAAATATAACATCTAAATAACATAATGGTGAGAGCAACTAGTGGCATGAACGGCCTGTCATATTTAAGTCCAACTTTAAGTCGATCTTAGTCTTTGTGAAACACTCCACTGGGGACCGTTTCATAAAACCTTTTATCTATAACAAATGCTAAATTTCTATGACAAATTTGCTCTCAGCCAATCAGATGCCATGGTTTCAGTAGCTTATAACAGTAGCTTGTAACTTGCTATTAAACCAAGTTTTATGAAACAGGGTCCAGGTCTATTGTAACCTACAGATAACTGTCTGACCTATAAGACTACGCGCCAGCTGCTAAAATGGCGCACAATGGCACTTCTTATCCTGTTTGTTTTCTAAACATTCACCATACAAAAGAACGGGGAAATCACATCCACAGGCTTGTATCAAATTCCATCAATATTGCCAGCCCTAACCGACTTTCGTTTCTTAAGGAATCTGCAACCGACCCCGGTGGAATGCGAACCTTGAACTCACAGTGAAAAGAAAAGAGTCTGTCCCGCCATTTTAATATATTTTTAATGCACGCCCTGTCAAATATGAACACTCGGACCAGCACGGGAGATCAAACCCCGCCCCTGCATGCTTGGTGGATGGAACGAGTTGTTTGCGTGTAATGAGCCGCCATTCTTGCAGGGGCGGAGTACGGGTGCACTGGGAACATTCGTGAATGACCGCAAGTACGATATTGCAGCCTTAAAGAGAAGGCTAAGTTCATAAAGTTGAAAAAAATATGTGTGAGTTTTCCCATACGTTTCATGCTAGTAGTGGATGAGCATCAAGATTTCAAAAAGGTCCCCAGGAAACGATTACTATTAAGATGTCCTCATGTTTTAAATATGACAAGAAATAGCTTTAGATTTGGGCCAGAGTTTCCCATGTGTGTGTGTGTGTGTAGGGGGAGGGGGTGCGAGGCCTAGTCCCTCTGTTGCATTTCTCTCTGCAAATCAGCCGGGGTAAATTTCAGAACATGTTAATGATTCCAAGTCCTAAAGATAATACTGAGTTGTAAAAGGACAACAATAATTATTGAGCTTTCTCATAATTTGTATGACATTGTGGAAATAAATAATTTATACAGAGTATGAAAAAAAAATCCCTTTACAAAGGATTGCACTTTAAATGTATTGCTATTCGGAATATGACACGAAACTTACTACCAATGTGTGTAGTAGTTCGACATATTCATTTATGTGTGCAGTGCTTCAGCTTGTGCATGTGAATTTCGGCAAGGAGACAATTTCTCAACAGTTCAACGATTCTAAATTCTCACAGCACTATTTGTGTGTAGGGGTGGTTTTAGCTGACTGTCAAGACAGCATAAATGCTTGTTAGTAAGCAACCAGAGGACCGACGAATTTAGGCCCTCTCCGAGAGACCTGGTAATGCGAATTCATGCCTTACCATTATACTCATGTACTACATAACCAACGTTTCCCAATACCTTCAAAGAGTATTTCTTTAACAATGAAATGACATGGCCATGGCCCCGTCTCATAAAGAGCTGCGATTGATCCGAATCAATCGCAAGCCCTCTTATCAATCACAAGTTTGCAGTCCCTATCTCTTATGTATATTAAGCTTAATGCGATTGATACATATTGCACATAAGTTGCGATTAATCTGTTTATTAGACGGGGCCCCAAAAACTCAACTTTATCTTTAATTAATCCGAACACTGGCTGTACATCCACTCTCTCTCCCTTTCTCCTCCCTTTCCAATGAAAGCCGATGTATTTTCGCGGTTTATGGCAGAACAATCGTTAAAGTAAAATGGCTAAAAACAATTTTCACATGGCCTTGCCTTTATGATATCTTGTTACATTTCTTCCACGACTCGATGCCGTATAATCATACGCGTGTATGCGGTAAACTTTCAAAAATGAGATCTATAGAGCGAATCTACGGTTACAGACCACAATAAATGTTCATTCTCTTTCAGTGTATTAACCTACTCAGGACAATTTCCTTTCTTCTGTGGTTTGATTCAATCACTTTTGAGTCATACCCCGATGGAATAATACCGCATGCATTATTAAAAAAAGATTCTGCACATAGTGTATTCAGTTTTGTGTAGCAACTAGGGGGTTCGACGTCAGACGTTCTTTGATGATTTAATACAAATATGAAGATCATTAAATTGGCAACATATTGATTCCACACCCTTTTTAAATACCGATTCGCATTTAATAAATGAATAAAGAATTAAGTAATAAACTATTGAAAAATAATAATATTAATTATAATAATAACGACACTGATGTTGATAATGATGACGATAATAAGAACAATAACATTGATAAACATGATAATAATGATGATGATGGAATTATAATATCATAAATTATACAAATAACCGTAATCCTTAGTAAACATAATAAGAATAACAATATTCTTTTATTAACAAACAACTGCAGCCTGTAAACACCGAAAGGAGGTTGAGGAAGGGGCTGGAAATGGGATGGGGGACAGGGAAGGGGCAGGGGGGGGGGTGGTGGTCACTTACGTGTAGACGACTTTGAAGTCTTCCTTCTCTTCCAAAACCTCGAATGTTGGCGACTTCTTGTTCCACTTCCGCCTCTGTTCGGGATCGGTGAAGAATTCAAGCACTGCAGACAAAATAGAAAATAAGACAAATGTAATTTAAAGGGAATCTGTGAGACGTAAGTAATAGATATTGAGCATCATTGAATATGTGTACTTTATATATCTTTTTAAAACTCAGCTGGCCTAAAGCAGCGAAAGCATTTTGGGAATAACCTTTACATATTAACATGACTTTAGTCATGAGATTATAATTATATGTGTTATATGCAATGTCTTGTTAAATTCAGTTAGGAAAAAAGTTAGGTTAGGAGATAAATCAGGCTAACAATCGTCTGCGGTTTCATGCACTTTTCTACGAACTCGCTAATAGAAAATCGATTATTCATAGCAAATTTACTCTTTGCAGACGAACTGAAATAACCACTACAAAGCAACGAGTTCTGGAGATATTTCCGCTTGTATACGTTTTTTTTCCTCACCAATGCAGATCCCCTAGATAACAACCAATGTTTGATAGTGTGGTAACCGAAAAACGAATTGTGTTAGTTATACAAAATCTATAATATTGATTTTAGCGTGATTTGCAATCCGTTATATAATTTTGCTTAACATTATGATAACAATATCATTTTTGTCATTGTTAATTATTGTAATATTATATCAAATTTCGGAAAAAAGAAGAACGAAAAAAAGGGGGCAAAACCTAAACACGACACTTTTTTTACTCCCTAGATCCCGTCCTGGCTAGAGATATATAGTAACAATATAATTTTGAATATCTTATTTGTTCAACACATGTTTTCACACAAATCTGATGATTAATAAATAAATAATAATAACAGAAGAAATCACGTACCTTTGTCCACTGGGATGCCGGTGAAGTCCATTGAGGCCTGTGGCATTGATAGATAGATAGTAGGATAGATCGATACACAGAGTAGAGAGATAAAGAAAGAAAAATAGATAGACAGATAGAGTAAGAGATATATAGGAAGATAGATAGATAGGTAGAGTAGAGAGATAAAGAAAGAAATATAGATATATAGATCGCCGCATACAGCGAAAGAGAGAGAAGATGAAGGGAAAGAGAGAAGGAGAGAGAGAGAGAGAGAGATAAAAACGTTAATCAATACACAATATTTGAGGGATTAAACATTGATTATAAAGCAATCTAAACCGTATACCAGACGGTTATTAATAACCACTGACCCAATGCAACTTGTCACGATTTATCATAAAATTGCTCAACTAGATAATTAACAAAGCGAAACGAATGACAAACAACCTATGATTCATGCGATAGAGTTAATTTATTTTGTGTTATTCCGAAAAAAATGGTTATATGCATGCATCGTGATAGAGTGAAACGTTATAATCAAGGATAACGTTGAGTTCTGGGCCCCGTTTCACAAAACTTGTCATCAGTGAAAAATGACAGTTTTTGTGATAAGCTACTGAAATCCTTGCTTCTGATTGGTTATCAGCAGATATGTCACTTATTTTTGTCATTTGAAACGTGAAAATAAGCTCTGTGAAACCGGTCCCTGGTCGTGCGATTGCATTGTGAAAGAAACTGTCTGGAAACTATCAATCAATAGTTTTTATAAGAAGAAAAATCAAAGCAAATAAAATTCATACAACAAAACAGTCAAAATACAGAGCAATTAATGTCATGGCCAATGTACTAAAACATGTTTCACTTTAAAATTTATATAAGATTAAAAAATAGTACTCAAATAAAAGCCTATGATGGCTTTATGAGACAAAGTTCTCACTAAGATTCATGATTGACTGTTATGGTGCATAGAGTCTAACAAATCCGACAAAAATAAGTAACTTACTGTGGAAAAGAGGGATTTGGAAGATAAAGGCTGATTCTTTTAAAGGTATTTATAATACAAAATACGGTTTCTGTCTTTTTTAATGTATACACTATTCTCGTATAAACGTATGACATATGTATAATAGTGTTCACAAAATTTGGTAGAGTATTTCTTACGTATTCTTTTAAAGAATGAAGAATTCGTACATGTATGTATACTAATATACATAAATAACACACATTGGTACATTAACAACAAGTGTATAGAATGACCACGTGCAAGATTCCAGACACATGCTGCGCGCCGCACGCACCCATTTTCCGCCACCTTGTATTTAGGTAATGCGTGTGTATATTTGTGTGGTTGGAAAGTTAAGTGTGTATGTAAATGAAATGTGCGCCATGCATTAAGCACATTCAATGCGCTTGCAATAAGATGTCTGCATCTTGGAATCATTGCTGGGAGTTTCGCTCATTTCTAAACCAGCGTTGCGAAATCTTGCGGCGTAATGATGATTTCTCCCATTAAATTAGTTCATCATTCGCATTATTGTACTGCTGGCTTTTTATTGACGTTAAAACTGAAGTTTTTTTTCTAGTTTCTTTTGTAAACTTGGTATCCTGATAAAATAGTATTTTTACTGTTTTTCCCCCGTTTTCCCTTATTTTTACCTCTCTCTTTCCATCCCCTCTCTTCTCGTTTTCTCATCACTGTCTTTCTCTCTTGTCTATCTGTCTCCTTCTCCTCTGGTTTCCCATCTCTCTATCTCACTGTTCCTTCTCCTTTAACCCTCACATGTGTATTTCGCTTCATTTCCGCCTCACCCCGTCTTTCTCCCTCCCCCCTCCATCGTCTCTCCCTTTAATCCTCTTCATATCCTACAAAGCTCAGCGATTAGACTATCCGTATATCGTCAAACATCGGCCATGTCACATAACGTCTTGCGATTTATGAGAATTCCCTACAGCATTGTCTCATTTAATATGATTTACAGGTCTTATAACAGGATCTTTATATGAGCGCCCAGGTCCGGTTGAAGCACGGATCAATTTCGACCCTGCTTTACTCCCTCCATTTACTATTGGACGCTCTATTGGCTTTTTATCTCTATAATGATACGATTCCGGGGGTATGTTTTCCTGCCTCATATCCGGTTCCTTTGTAATGTATCTGTCCTGTTATTAATGTTCATATTCATAACCAAGATCGTATTCTTTTTAACGAACACAATGGAGTTTTTCTCTGTAACAAGCCCCCACCCCTCTCCACCCTCTCTTTCTTCCCCTCCTCCCATCGTATCCTGCTACTGATAATAATATCCGGCTCTTCGGTAATGTATCTATGCTCTCATGAATGTCTATGTAACTCAGATTATAATCTTTTTAACGAGCATAATGCATATTTTCCTGTTAAAAGCCACCCCCTCCTGCCACAGTATCGTCGCGTTGCCACTGATAATAATATCCATTCCTCAGTAATGTTAAAATGTATATGTTCTGTCAATGATGTTCATACATCATTTTAACGACAGTGTACTAACTCCTTGTCGCAACCCCACACCCTCTTCCCCAGCACCCCACCATCTCTCTCTCTCTGTTTATTTTGCTGTCAATTATTTTATTTGTATCTGTGACTTTACTAGCCTCCTCTTTTTTCCCTGCTCTTTCTGTCCCTGCATCCTTTCTTTCTTATTCTTTCTATAACAATATAACAAAATAACATATATAATTTCCCCCTCTCCCTTCCCATCCTACCCCATACCTCTCTTAAAGAAGAAAAAAGGATGAAGATGAAGAAGAAGAAGAAGAAGAAGAAGAAGAAGAAGAAGAAGAAGAAGGAGAAAGAATATCAACACATCCGTAACTGCAACGTCGCAAAATCTGTAAGGATACTGCAATTTTATTGATCAAATTTATGATATCAATATCACTCTGCAACCTAAATTACCGGAGTTAATCAACCCTGTTTGGAGCTACATCCATCGATATTCAAATCGATAACTGAAGGACAAGTGACACGATAGAGAGAGAGAAAAGAAGAGAGTCGAATTCTGTGCAAATGCATTAACAAAGACATATAATGGCCAGTTAATTATGCAACGGTTATGATGGGTTGCATATAAAGAAGATGCTTCATTGCCGCGTTGAGATTGCGGTCGCGATACAGGAAATCGTTTGCATTCGGTATATAAGAATATGATCATAATTACCGTCTGTTCAGAGCTAGTAGGTCGTTACCTCCTATGGTTTAAACGCCCTTCTGGCTCTAAACTGACATGACAGATTAGATAGTTGCCTACTAAAAGTGAAAGTGATACTATGTAGATATAACTGATAGCTCGCTATTAAATGCGCTTACGATATTTGACAGGTGGTTATGATAAATATGAGCGTACTTGATCATTTGTGCGATTAGAAACTTCAAAGGTTATTTAAAAAAGAAATACATGTACTACGTTGAGGTGAGCACTTAATATAATATAGGCCTATAAGACAACCTGATATGTATGAGAAATACATGAAGCCTCTGCTGTTGATGAATTATATGTATGAAAGGTGATGTTTCATCGTGAATAGGTATACACCGTATAAAACAGTATTACTGTCTGGAGAGTAATTCGGTAAGTTAATTCTTCATACGCTAATCAATTGAAGCATCCAAATAAACCGCGGTAACTCATCTTTCTTGATAGTAAAACGCCGCCCACGCAGTGTGTTAGCTATGTGATGCATAGTGAATCACATAAAAAAGTGCCCTGGAAGGGATTCGAACCCCGTACCTAATACTTCCTAGCTTATTCCAGAATCGTATCCACTATACCACGCCACCTCATCTTGCTTAGATAGTAAAACATCGCCAACACAGTGTGCTAGCTATGTGATACACAGGGAATCACAAAGATAAGGGCCCTGGATGGGATTCGAACCCCGTTTCTAATGCTTCATAGGTTATTCCAGAAACATATCCACAAGACCACGTCGACTCATCTTCCTAAGATAGTAAAACACCGCCCACGCAGTGCGTTACCTATGTGATGCATAGTGACTCACACATCAGTTCTCGGGTCAACCAACACCCGCCTACATGTATTCACACCGGGAAACGACGACCGTGTGATTGCTTCATTAACCATTAAATGATGATATTTCTTCTTAGTGCTGATTATAACGTGTTCATGTAGGGTGCATACTAGCGAAAATTACTTTAGTGACCACTTGTAAATAAAGACAACCTGTCTATAAAGACCACACTGTTTCCCTTGACGATCTTTTCTCATAGAGACCTGTATTAAAGTAACCTGTATTTAAAGACCATGGGTGGTATTCTCATAAGTTAAGCCGGGACTAAGTCCAGACTAAACAAGAATTTTAGTTCACACTTCTATGGAATGCTAGGTTTTATCTTCCTCCTTCAATATTCATGACAAAGATAATCTACCAAAGACTTCTTGGAAATTCAGTTCATACTCATATTATATTTCATTGCAAAATTAATTTTTTGGAGACTTTTCATTGAAGGATTAAAATAATCTGTACAGGATAAATGAGTTGACAACAGGCACTCCATAAAAAGTGTGGACTAACTTAGTGCGCGCTAATTTAGTACGCACTACCAGAATACCACCCAGTCTCCCTATAAAGACCACTTTTCTTGTCACCCTGGAGTGGTTTTTACACACAGGTTTCACTGTATAACTATATTCATGAAACAGCAGCATGTACATTGTACACGTGTAAAGCGTTTCATGCGTTCTACAGCATCAGAGGTATAGTATGTCGCCAATGTGCTGTAATTGAGAAACTGAATAAAAAAGAAGGGGGAAAAAGAATAGAGAAGAGTGAGATACGCTTGGTATACTTCCGTAAGTCATCAATTTACCCATTGACTACTGAATTGACATTTTAAAGGGATCCGGTAACTTTGTCTCAAGTTCTGAAACAAAATCATGGATTTCGCTCATGTTGCAATGACTACTGAATTGACATTTTCCCTAGAGTTTTAATATGGTAAGCCACCCAGTTCCAGTCGGCATTGAATTAAGTCTGGATATTGTTTCTCCAAAGAA